GGAAGACCCTCTATGAGGTGGATTGATTCAGTGACTGGGATAATTGGGATGGGAGTGTCGGAGACAGTGTGATTGGCACAGGACAGAGCGGAGTTTAGGGCTGTTGTACATAGGGTCCCTATGAGTCGCAAGCGACTAGATGGCACAGAACAACAAAAACTCATTGCAGTTTAGAAGCAATCGAACTCTGGAACTTGACTCTTAGCACCACTGCTTTTTAGCATCATCAAATTGAAGTCTTAGCAAACTGAACCAAGGGACAGTGCCTGGTAACCAGCTTTCAATATCAACTAACTCCTCCCCGGTTTCCCTTCAACAAAAGACCCCTGTCCTGGCTTTGCCTCATCTTAGCAGGAAGTAGTTTTTTAAGATCTTCCCTCCTTTTCTCCTTTACTTGAAGCTGGGAATGTAAGCTGAAACCAAAGGGATTCCATCTTGCTGACCTTCTAATCCTACCTGAGTAAGCTGAGATGTCGCAGGAAAGAGTAAACAATCTGAATAATAATTACCCCGAAGCCCGGTTTATAAACAGGGAGTGCTGAAATGGGAAATGACCCCAGGCCTTTGAAACTGCTGTGGCTAGCCAATACCCTACCCTTCTCTTTGCTCAGGGCTAACGCCAACTCAGCCTCAGCCTGTTTTCACCTAAATGTGCATTTTAAAGAAATCATTTTGCTATTAAAAAATAAAAAAAACAACCCACAACAAAACAAACATCCTAACCATAACAGATATTACTTTTGACAAGCATATTTTTAAATGTAATTTGAAAAGTAATATGATAAACTGAATATCATTTTTCAAAGTGAGAAACTTAAATGTTTTCAAATATTTAACCTTTAGCTAATAATGATAATACTGAATTAAAATCATGATCATACTTTCTGTATGTTCTTGAAGAAGTTATTTTCTTTAGATAAAAAAAAAATTGAGTTGTTGGACAAAACAGGTAAAGGTATCCATAACAACATTTAAATAATTCATCTGGTATCTTGGAATGAAAATAGGGCATATTTAGTAATGATATCCAAAGGGGTTCTAATTTATTCACATAATATCATGACTCTGAAAAAAAAAGAATTATTCTCTCCTTTAAAATCAATAAAGACAACCACCCCAAACTCAGCTTTGTCAGAACTCACGCATGGCCTTTACCTAACACGGAGCTGGAATAGTCACTTATGATCCACGGGAATACGGGGTACTGGGAGAGGTCATTGCAGCTCCGGTCGGCCACGTTGTTGAGGTGCAGCAGGTACTGGTAGTTGGAGAGGTGGCCGCGCTGCCACTGCAGCATGTAGCTCTCAGCAGTGTGCTCAGCCACATGGTGTTCTGAAGGGGAAATGGGCCCATAGAGTCAAAAGAGCAAAGAGCAAGCCCATTTTAACTAGCACAGAAAATTGAGATGTAAACCGTTTGCCACATTCTTGAAAGTACATTTTAAAAAAAGAAAGAGTAGACTCTTGTTTTCACTACATATGAACATTTTTAATATCAATGGGATAAACCATTAAATATAATAAATTACTCAATCCTCAAAAATGTCATTAAATTAGTAAATTTTAAAGTATGGGACAAAAATATGTTTGCATTATAATGTTTTTACTCTAAGACATTATTATCTACAATATTTTTTACAAAAAATCCTTCTAAATGTGCTTGAGCTTCACTGCTTTTAAGAGACTATCGTTATATGTGAATCCCTTGATTCTTTTGTTGCTGTTGTTGATTGCCTTCAAGTCAAGCACGACTCATTGCAACCCTATGAACAAAAGGCCTGAAGCCTGTCTACAACTACCGTTATTTATCAAAGTTCAGAGAGTTTCCAGAGGCATGTTATTTAGGAAGTGGATGCCACTCCTGCTTCCAATGATTCTTTAAGTCTATATTTTTTAATTGTTTCTCATTTATATACATTTTGCTTTATATTAATTATAATTGATCAGTGCCTTTTATCACATTTCAATAAGTTTTCCCTGTATTGTGCCACTCCCCTCACCCTACCTGTCCATTTTTGTTGCCCCCTCTATTCTTTCCCTGCCATTTCTCTGCTACCTTCTCCCCATATGAACAGTCAGACACAACCTGTTCCTAGTTGTTAATTCTAATACCCATACTATGAATCCCTTGAGTCTTTAATAAAATCAATATTTGTTGTTCAAATTTCCTCTTTCAAATCTTGAGGATGTATACTACTTTTCATTTGTCAATGACTATGCATTATTTATGCCACAATAAGAGAAACTGTTCATTAAGAAAAAAGTGTGACAAGAAGGACAAATGTCCCAAAGTAAAAGAACCAGAAAGGTTATTCTCACAGTGAAAATGAGATCATATAAAATGGCTTTTCTTTCTTTTACACAGGGTATGAAATGAAGTCAATTGTCCTACGAGCAGATTTTCCATTTTGTTCAGAAAATTCTATTTTCAACTGTTTATTGGCAACTTCCTTGATTTGTGGGTTATTTTTCTCATTTGAGTGAAGGTTTAGAAATCATACTGGTTTTTAAGACAATAATTTACAGACATTCTACTTTATAACATTAATGGACAATAATTAACACAGTTAATTAATTATAATGTTTAGTCAACTTCTTGCTTAGTGGTAAGAAGCTATGCTGCCAATCCAAGAAAAAGAATTACAAGAAAACTACAAATCAATATCCTTCATGAAGTAAAATAGAAATATTTAAAATAAATGTTTAGCAAATCAAATCCAACAATATAAAAAAGTTATTGTATCACAATCGATTTTCAAATGTTTCACAAATCTTGCATCCTTGGAATATACTCCACATTTAACATCTGAAAATCAATTCATGTTCTCTACATTGTCCTGCTGTTAGCTGGCTCCATCAAAATGGGACATCTGACTCTTTAATTCAACATTCATTCTTCTTACTTTTACCAAATTTCTTTAATCAGCTACTAAGCTTTAAAAGTGAAAACATTTGTAGCACATATTTTCTAGTCACAGAGTGAAACATCACAGAGAAAGCATTAAACATTTCAAGAGTACATCCTGAGAGCTGACAGCACCCTGTCCCAGACTTTTTAGATCATGGCAAGTTTCTGGCCTTGAAATCTTAGGACTCACCATGGAAATTCAGAGTTTTGTTGTCATCTTGTTATAATTAGAAAAAGAAATGGAGGGAAAAAATAAATAAATAAAACAAAGCAGGAGATAGGAATAAATGTGCTCCAGAGCTATATTTATATTTTACATTAACCCTATAGCATAACTAAGAAAAGGTAAAAGTTCATTCTAAACCTACTATAAATTAAAGCATATTCCTTAATGAAAAAAAAAATCTATTCCTTATGGAGGGAGAATTTCACTGCTAAGGGAGGATGAGCTTCATTGTATTGTCTAATGATGTCACAGCACACTAGAGAAACAAACACAAATTAAGATCATATTAATAAAACCCCAACACTCATTTAAAGAGAGATGCCATTCTAGTCTTCTGGCACTTTTGCAAAAAAGAATTTAATTCAATCGTGAAGTTTATTTGTTCACAACTAAAAAGATAAGTATTCTCTTTCATCAAAGTGGAAAATTTACATTTTCCATGGAAGACTGAAGACATCCCATTAATTAAAAGCCATTCTAGTCACAAGGCACTCTATGGGGCATACAAGGCTCATGGGTCCCTTCAGCTCTGATTATGATCACAATCAATTATCATGAGCCCGTGACTGTGCTGCATTAAGAAACATGGACTCTCAGTTGTCATCCACCACTAGACATGGCCACAAAGATAATAGGACAATGTCTTCCACCCCAGTTCCATTTGGAGGTTGTTGGGATATAAGAAAATATACACATATTTATTAAGTTCTTAAGACACATAATTGTAGTGAACTGTTAAAAAAATTTATTTCCCTAGTTTTAAAAATCTTATTTAGTCAATTATCATTATTAAATCAGAAAAGGCAAGCAAAACCACACAAGAGGAGGCATTTCCAGAGAATTTTTAAAGAATTCTTTCTATCCCAGTTAATCAGGAAGTAGACAGCCTTTACAAAAACAGATACAAATAGTGTGTAAATCAAACCTAGATATGTGGCGATATAATAATAGAGGTCGTCTCTGTCTTGCGGTTCATAGAACTTTAAGTAGATGTCAGAACACAGATCATCTTCCGTGCAAAATACTTCCAAGCCCTACAGATTCAGAAAGAAAAGAACAAATCAAGTACTACTGATTTCACTTTACAATCCCAATATAAACTGAAAAGAAGCAGAAGCCTTTTGATTAATCATTTTTTCATTTTTGCTTTGCCAATTTTGCCTTCATGTTTTCCAGTTAAAATCAATTCACTGGAATGTGCACTTTAAAATTCCCCAAAACATGACATGAACCACAATTAAACTTTGTAAAATCCTCATTAATTAGTGGTAAATATTTTTGACAGTTACTGTTGAGAATTTAGTACTGTGAAATGCAAAATTAGCTGATGTAGTCTTCACATTGCTCCTTCAAATACAGTACCCAGATTTTATTAAAAAATAATTAAATGATAATTAGATCTATCAGGTTTACAATGAATGACTCATTCAGTTAGTAAGGCCTGATTATTTTTAAAGAAACCAATCGCTTTTGATAATATTGTGCTGTTAAAGTTGAAACAGGGCAAGAACAGAAGAAGGAGGGAAGCATGGAGCTGCTGTTGGTTTAAATACAGACTTTAGCCATTTATTACTGTGGGAACTTAGGAACGTTAACTCTTTGAGTCTCAGCCTCTTCATCTTTGAAACACTGAAATATTACTTCAAAATGTTCATCTTCAAAATAATCTATCCAGTACACAGAAGGCACTTACTCCATCTTTGTTTCTTCTTTTTCTGACTGCATCTCACTACCAAAAAAAAAAAAAGACTTCTAGTCATTTCTGCTTCCCTGACCCTCTAATAGCACTACACATGGAAAACTGCCTTTTAAGTAGACACAGGGAGAAACACAGTTACAGTGCCCAAATTTAAAGGATAAAAATGAGATGCTTAAAACTCCACAAGGCTCATATAATAACACCAAGTTAGGAATTAATCTTCAGTGGAGGAAAAAAATCAATTTATATTGATGTCAAGTTAAAACACTGTGAAATCTTATTTTAGTAAAGGTTTGTTTCTAACATAAGCATGCAGGACATCATATATGTGGATGTCTGCTAACTCAGGAAGTGGGAAGAACTGCTCTTACCACTTAATGGTTATTTTGTCCATTTTTCTCCCTCACAGAGGCTGAAGTTAAATTAATCTGTGACTATACTGCAATCCACTGTAATTGTCTTCTGAATTTTACTCTGAGGGCTGCCTGCTATGAGTAGGCTGTCGCAAGGAGGGTTGTGCTGGGTCTGCGTATGGTGTCCCAGCTCTGAGTCCAGGCTGAGATGATAGGACAGAGTTGCTCAACAGCAATCTAGTCTTTTTGTTCTTGGTACAAAAACATTTTCACAGGAAGTTATTCCTCCTAAATGTCTACGTCACCCAAAAAGGATAGCCAGAACCAGAGCCACGGGCTTCCAGCACAGCATGCGAATACTTTCCAGAAAAGGCCCGGGGACTATGAACTCAGTAATTGGCGTCTGAAGGGACAATCACACAGACAGAGGATAGAGCATTCCCATGAACTCACCAAAGGCATGAGGCCGTGCCTCCTTTTGTAGATGCGGCGAACATCATGGAGTGTTATCTGGACCACAGGTTTCTTTAAAAACAGACGGTTTCTAACATCAAAATACTGACACAATTAAGAGTTGTTCATTAACATCCGGAATGAAGTAATGACTGAGTCTTGCCTTCCTAATGTGTTATCTGTGAACCCAGAGGAAGTGAAGGCCAGGAAGGAGGTAAGCCTGGTTTCACATCTGGTCAAACACACCTCATCAGCATTAGGACCTCAGCAAGCTCCCTACCCTCACCTGATTCCCCTCAGAATGATCACACAATCACCCATCTCTCAGTTTGCTGCTTAGGTGACCCTTCAAGATTTTCACTCTTTAGACAAATGATTTTACTAGTACTAACACAGTTTTTAAAAGACTTTATTTCCTTAGGAATAATACTGTGTTAAAGGCTCTTAATTAAATGTAATAGAAGCAAAATCTCTAGACATTTTTTAAATTTATTTTTAAAAAATGTTTATAAAGAAGAAACACTTTCCTGCTTCTTAATATACTTAACACACCAGTGAGACAGGCACAGGGTCAGAAAGGCACTGCAAGTGGTTGACCAGCACCGTCCCCCACACTGACAGGCTGTCTAGTGTGGGAAGTGCCCTGAAGACCCCAAGTCAGATCTGGGAAGGTCAAGGATCATGGCCAACAGAACTAGGAATCAGATGAACTCTTAGATGAGGAGTTGGTTCCTATTGAGGCAGCCATTGAGTGAGTGACAGATCCTGAAATAAGGGACATGCCTGAGCATTTTCCAAAAGGTTTTTTGTTTTTTTTGGTTTCTTGTTTTTTTTTCCTATATTTTATTAATTTTCATAAACATTTACAGAGATTTTGGGTTTCCATTCATTCCTTGTTGCACTATTCTCTCTACCCTCCTCCCAGTTTGTTCTTGTCCAAATGCCACAGTGCTTGTCAAAGCCAGTTCTGACTAATCTTCCTTGTCAGTGTGTCCTCTGCCATTCCCTATCACTCCTCCCTGAGAGAGACCTCACCCTGAGTCATAAGGAAAAGGGGATGGCGTATTCTCCTAGCTACTTCCTGCTGAAAAGGGACGCTGTGGGTTTCAGGGTGAAGATCCTCTCTCACTACTCTAAAGGGCCCCTTTGGCAGTAGGAAACACATAGACTATTATGGAGATTGATTTTGGGATCTAGATGCACTCTTATTGATTGTGCTTGGCCGTACATGTTCATATCCTTGAAGATGTATCATGGGGGTGTTGCAACCTAGAAGGCACAAATTTGACTAACAAGTTATAAGTACATGAGTCCAAAAATTATGGAAAAGTAAAAGAAAAGATTCTTTCATTGTTTTACAAACCCTCCCCCACGTCCCCTCCACCATGTAGCCCTCGCTCTAGTCTCCTGTGATGACAGAAATACCTAGTTATATATCTCTTTTAAACAGTTTTCTCCCTCCTCTGTTTCAGTGCAGTATACATTATTGAACCCATCTTACTCAGTCTCTCCCCAACAGTGGCATCATGTAATATTTGTCCTTTTGTGACTGGGATTTTGATTCAAGCAATAGAGGAAGTAGGAAATTCCAGTAGGGTAGTGCATGGCACGCTGTGCTGCTAACCCCAAGGTCAGGCATCTCTGGGACTTTGAACTGAACAGCAGCTCCTCAAGGGAAACACTGAGTGGGGGTGTGGCGGGAGAGTAAAGCACTCTCCTCCTCCTCTGATTTAAAGTCTGGGGGACCCGGTGGAGAGTCACTATCAGTCAGAACACACTTGACGGCAGTTAGAGTTTCTGAATGTGAAGCAACAGCCAAACCAGCTCACTACACCAACCAAGAGCACCCATCCAGGGAGGTGTGAAGCTCACACCAGGGGGCATGGAGAGCTGGCCCCACCACCTGGCAGATATAAGGACACGACACATGCATTATTTTTCACTTAGAGTATGAGATGTTCAGTGACACACAGTGACCAGCCAGGACAATGTCCAGAGCATAACTTTCTAGAACAAAACCACTGAATACTTGAACTTCCATGACAACTTACAAGTTCTCTGCAACAGCTCTACTGGATTATAAAAGTAGGTCAGAGGTTCTGTTCTTCTAATTGTTGTTGTTATGCGATTCACAGCAACCTATGTACAACAGCCCTAAACCCTGCTCTATCCCTTGGCAATCTTATTGTCTCTGACACACCTATCCTCATTACCCCAGTGACTAAATCAATCCATCTCATTGAGGGTCTTCCTTTCCTGCGCTGTCCCTCCACTCTCCCAAGCATGACGTCCCTCTCTAAGGCATGATCCCGCCTTGCAACATGTCTAAATATGTCAATGAAGCTTCAGAATCCTTTTTTCCAACAAGCAGCCTGGCTTTTCCCCTCTCCAGAACGAACTTGTTGATTCTCCTAGCAGTTCCATGGTATATTCAATATTCTTCTCCAGCACCACAGCCCAAAGCCATCAACTCTACTTCTATCATCCCTAGTCATTATCTAGTTCTCTGATGCATAGCAACTAATTGCAAAAACCATGGCCTGTATCAGGCACACCTTAGTCTCCAGACTGACATCGTTGCTCTTCAGAGCTTTGGAGAAGTCTCTGATAGCAGATTTTCCCAATGCAATTCATCTTTTAATTTCCTGGCTGCTGGTACCAAGAGCCAGGCAAACTGAAGCTGTCAACAATCTCAATCTCTTTCTTCATCATCTATTATAATACTGCCAATTGGCCCAGTGCTAAGAATCTTTGTTTTCTTGAAGCTTCAATCCATATTGAAGGCTGCAGTCCTTGACCTTGTGCAGTAAGTGTGTCAGGCCCTCCTCAGTTTCAGCAAGCAGGGTTTTGTCATCTGCACAACGCAGATTGTTTATAAATCTACCTCCAATCCCAATGCCACACTTCTCCTCATAGAGTCCAGCCTCCTGGATAATCTGTTCTGCATATAGATTGAAAAGATATGGAAATAGGACACATCCTTGACACATACCCTTCCCAATTTTGAACCATGCAGTGTTTCCTTGCTTTGTTCTGATAACTGACTGCCTCCTGGTCCAACTATAGGTTTTGCATTAGCACGACCAAGTATTCTGGGATTCCCATTCTTCTCATAGTCAGCCACAGTTTATTGTGATCCACACAGTCAAATGTCTTTGCATAGTCAATGAAACACAGAAAGACATTCCTCTGGTACTCTCTGCTTTCAGCCAAGATCCATCTGAAAATAGTTATAATATCTCTAGTGCCATGGCCTCTTCTTAATCCAGCCTGCACTTAAGGCAGTTTTCTGTTGATGTGCTGTTCCAGTCATTTTTGGATATCTTCAGCAGAATCTTGCTTGCATGTGATATCAATGATACTGTTCGATAATTTCCACACTCTGTTTCTTTGGAATGAGAACAAATACAGATCTCTTCTAGCCACTCCAAATTGGGGCCAGATCTATAAAGCTTCACATTTTTACGAATTTTAGTGTAGAATCAGAGTCAGTCTTAGATTTTGGACTAATAAATCTCAATCAAATGTAAGCAAAGAAATAAGAAAACCAGTTGCTGTTGAGTAGATTGTGACTCATGTTGCTGCTGTGTGTCACTGAGTGACCACAACTCACAGCAATCCTATGAACACCACATTGGAACCTTACCCATAAGGAAACCCCCGTAAATGTCAGGGAAGTACTGTACCCCATTGTTTTCAAGGCTGTAACATCCAGAAGCAGTTCACCAGATCTCTCTTCTGAGTTTCTTCTGGATCGGTTCACACAGCAAGTGTTAACTATATACACTACACAGTGAAAGAAAAGATGTGCCCACAACCATTAGGAATGGGACTGCTCTCAGAATGAAGGTTGCATAGTGGAGTGTACTCAGGGTGAGGGAACTGTATACCAATGAAGGAATTTTTCTTTTACTTTTCAAAGAGAAGAGTGAACTGGGGGGAGGGGTGGGTAGGGAAAAAATGCAACAATGAATGAATGGAAATCTAAAATCTCTGTAAATGTTCATTAATATTAATACTAATAAAATAAAATAAAGAATGGGACTGTTTATAATTGTCACCCAAGCAGATATATATACTCACATGTTTACTGTGGCTTTGTTCACAACAGCAAAGAGTTGGAAACAACCCAAGTGCCCATCAACAAACGAATGGATAGAGAAGCTGTGGTATATTCACACAATGAAATATTACGCTGCTTTGAAAAACAAGGAACTCATGAAATATACAGAATGAGTGACCCTGGAGGACATTATGCTGAGTGAAATAGCTCAGTCACAAAAGCACAAATACTGCATAGTGCCACTGTGGTAAAACAGGACTCACACTGGGGTTAAGGGGAGACTGAGAAAGATGGGATAAATTACGTATACCGCATTGAAACAGATGAAAGAACTGTTTAAAAGAGATATATGATTAGGTATTATTGTCATGACATTGAGTCCAGAACAAAGGCTGCATATTGGAGTGGACTTGGGGGGAGGGACTGTATAACAATGAAAGAATTTTTCTTTTACTTTTCAAAGAGAAGAGTGAACTTGGGGGGATGGGTGAGCAGGGAGAAAAGTGCAACAAAGAATGAATGGAAATCCAAAGTCTCTGTAAACTTTCATTAAAATTAATAATAATTTAAAAAAAATTTTTTTAAAAAAGAATGGGACGGCTGGGCCAGATTGCAGCCTCTCTGGAGGCCTCTATGGACTTCCTTGGGAAAGACGTAGATGGGCTGATTTTGTCTATTACAGAGGAGGACTGAGAACTAGTAATGTTTATGTTGTGTTGTTTTCTTGTGTACCACAGAGTTGGAACTGACTCATAGCTGACCCTCAAACAGGTGGTTAAATGCAGTTAATCACAGAGGAGGAGATTGCCCAACCTCCTGCAGAGCAGCTGGTGGCCTCGAACTTCTTGTCTTTGAGACTGCAGCACAGCTTCTTGCCATTAGGCTGCCAGAAATCTCTAAGGTTAGGTATATATATACAAATACACACACCTTTCTTTCAACTTCCTTATCATCTCAGTGCATTTCACTAGTCGTTTCTGGAAGAAAGTCTCAGTGCAAAGGCATAATAAACCTCTAGTAACTATTTCCTAAAATCAGGATGGATAGGGTTTCTTTTTCTAACATGGAGAACAAATGCCCTCAAGGACAGAAAATGGAACAGAGGCCCAGGAGTGGGGACAGGTGTGTGCATAGGATGATTCCGTGAGCCGGAACATACAGATGCAGGGGTGCAGAGAGTGGCTGATTTTGAAGACTCTAAACACCAAGTCAAGCTCGGCAGAGAGGCGGCTTACAAACGAGCACTCCTGCCGCCAGCACTCAAGCACCTCTTCACCAGGACCCCGTGGCCAGCTCTTACCGGGTGCCCGTTGAGAGGCTGGAAATACAGGTTTGTGTCTGTGATGCACACGTGTCCAGGGTTGGTCACTAGAGGTGTCACCATCTCCGCTTTACATTCCATGTGTAGCTTTTCAGTTACACTGTGGAATCTGAAAGTATAGTTTTCAGCAAAAACAAGAAAAATAATCAAAATATATTCCTTTTTTGCTTTATTAACTATATTTAGTTAATAATGAAATTTAGTGATAAATTTCAGTGGAAGTAACCGTATTATTATTCTTTTAAGCAGCTTACTTAACTAGCTACATTAAAAATAAGTATCTGAGTAAACAATGCTGCATTCATAATTGAAGAAATTACTTTCCCTTGGAAAAAAAATAAGTACGTTATCTCCCAAGCTGGTAACGGAATCCTTCAGGGGAAGTTCTACTCTGTTACATATGGTTAACTATGGAATCAAATCCATGGCAGGGGAATTTCTTTGGTATAGCAAAAAGGAAAAAATAAAATCAATAAAATGAAAATACCCATTGTTGTGGAGAAAGAACCTACTCATAACAGGATTTCCACTGGATTGTCGAGGCTGCAAATCATGTAAAAGGAGCCTGCTTTAAGATGCAGAAGTTAAATAAAATACTTCCAAATAAGCCACATGTCAGAGTGGGGGAATCAGAATACAAATTATAAAACCTTTCATAGTAAATGACCATGAAAACATAATGAATAAACTTGTGAACACAAAGTTCTTTGAACTCTCCATCTGCTTATAACTCTCCATCTGCTTATAAACACAGGTTTAATTATTGGTATTACAAATGAAAGGTTAAAAAATCAGTGTGCTTCTTAAGACTCTAGAAAAAAAGCCAAGGTAAAATCAAAGTAAAAGAGAGGAAAATCATAAAAGCTGTTGTTAGTTGAATGGAGTCAACTCTGATCCATAGTGACTTTACAGAACAGATGGAAACCCTGTCCAATTCTGCATCATCAGTGGAAATCTATATTACGGAAAATGGAAAAACAAGGGAAAACCCACAAACCTAGTTACTTAAAAACATTAACAAGACTGGTAAATAGCTAATAACACTAATTTTTTAAAAAGTAAAGAGAAAAAGTGCATCAATATAAATATATAAAGTATTAAAGATACTAAGAGTGGCCAACAAAAACATGAAAAGATGTTCCACATCACCAGATGCTAGGGAAAGGCAAACTAAAAGCACTGGGGGATACCATTTCACACCCACTGGAAGAGTTAGTTTTCTAAAAAAAGGAAAAACCAATTAACAAGTGCTATGAAGAAATTGGATCTAGCATGTTTCTGGAAGGCATGCAAAATGGTACAGCCATTGTGAAAAACACTTTGCTGACTACTCAAAAAGTAATATGCAGAATTTACATAATGATCCCGAATTGTACTTCTATGTACATAACAAAAAGAATTTAAATTGTATTCCTATGTATATACTGATAAGAATTCACGCAAATACTTGTATGTATGTGAACATTCAGAGCAATACTATTCACGAAGCCAGAAGTGGAAACAAGTGTAAGCAGAAGAATCAACAAAATGTAGGGGTGTTGGAGGGTGGGAGGTGTGTGGGGGTGTGTTTGTGTGATATGAATTTTATTCAACTAAATAAAAAGAATGAAACGCTTCATGCCAATGATGCCAATGCTTCATGGTACAATGATGATAACCCTCAAAACATTATGCTACAGAACAACAAATGAGATGCCACAGATGTCAAATGTGTGTGAAACTAAAGGACTTTTTCTGTAAAATCGTCAAAGACGTAAAGAAAAACACTATACTAAATAAGACAGACACAAAAGATCATATACCATATGAAATATTGAGAATAGGTCAACCAACTGATAGGCACAGAAAGCCAATTGGTGGTTGCCAGGGACTCAGCGAGGGCATCTGAGGAATGAATGTGTACTGGTGTCTTTTGCAGGATGAAGAGTATGTTTTGAACTAGATAGGGGAGACAGTTGTAGAACATTGCACATGTACTAAATAGCACCTGCTGGTATACTTGAAAATAACTAATTTTACATTGTGTGAATTTTACCTCAATAATTTAAAAGCAACAGAAACAGAAAGGGGATAACTTCACTACCATCAAGAAGGAAGAACCAGAGAATGCTGCATGTCCTTTGGGGCCAGAGACTGCTGCATCAACAGCAAAGATGGAGGAGATTGGAAATTAGAGTGAGGTAGAGCTGAGTTAGATCTGCCTGCCTAGAGTCAAAGTCCAGCGACTTGGCCTAGGCTTACTTGGTTTAGGGGAGAGATTGGCAGAATTAGAGGTGTGAGGGGCAGGGTTCAACAACTTGAAACAGAAAGGCCAGCCTGAAGGTACATCAGAAGATACTGTCGTTACTGAAGAATTGTGTCCTGAGTGTTTCCAACCTGCTACTTCACAAATGAAACTCCTAATCTTGAGTACTGTCTGTGAACTCTGTGTATCCACTGCAACAAATTAGCAAGAACTGTGGGAGAAATGGCTGGTGTCAGAGCAGAAGGCATGCACAAAGTGAGGGTGTGTCTGATCTCAAAGGAATCAGCCTTGTGCTACTGATGTTCTCAATGGGGATTCTTGTGGAATTAGTGGGGTCAGACTGTCATTGACCTCCTGCTTTCAAACACCATAAGGCCACTGGGGCTCAGAGACCAGAAAGACCATCTCTCTAAGGTCCTTCTCATGGAGAAAAGTGTGCAAAAAAGCCAGCGTGTTCCTCTAAAAAAGAAGTTCCCCAGAACAAGGCAGAAAGTCACAGAAGAAAACAGAGGGCAACACACATCCCCAAGAAAGGCAGGCGGTTTGGGAGGCTGCATAGAGAAGTATACTCGGGGTGGGGAGTTGGGGGGAAGGGATGGGATAATTGTATACTAATGAAGGAATTCCCCCCCCCCCGGAGAGGGGAGTCAACTGGTGGGGAGGGGTGGGCAGGGAGAAAAGTGCGGCAATGAATGAATGGAAATCCAAAACCTCTGTAAATGTCTATTAAAATTAATAAAAAAAAAATCATGGCTGCAGAAACAGAGAAGGGAAGAGAGTAATAATCAAAATAAGGGCTGCCCCCCTGTAGAACAGTGCTATAGGAATGGTGGTGCTCACTGAGAACAGACTCACCACAGTGTGTTCTCGTGTCTGGAAGAGACTGTAAGTTTGGATTTCTTTCTTTCTTTTTTTTTAGATGAACATAAAGAGTTTTATTAGAAGATAAGTCCCAGAGAGCAAGACGGGTCACTTCTCCAAAAGCAAAACTGAGAGAGACAATTGGTACTCATTTCAAAACAAGCAAAAAAGACAAGCATGGTCAAGCAGGTGAGGGATACAAGGGGTCGCAGACATGTACACAGATCTTACAATGAATTTGCCAAGATTTTAAGTGTCTGTGTATCTAGAAAAAAGTTTTAATTTTGAAAAAAAACCACTCAAAAAATAAAAATTTAAAGGAAAAGACAAAATAAAAATACTCCCCGAGTTGAGATAATTAGGAAACAGGTAATTACATCTGATGGTAAGAATTGTTTTCCTATGTACTATCTTTTCCAATTCTAAATGGCTTTGAATGTTGCTACTCAAAAAATAAGTTCCAAACATTACACAACTCCCCTGACTAAAGAAACCATCAAACTGATGCCTCAGGCTATGGCTATCCCTTAATGATCAGACTAAAAGGGAAGAATACTTCACATTTCAAAGCTTACACATTCAATCTTTTCCACGAAGTAAAAATCTCAGTACTTCTTCCCAGCCCACCTGAAGTTACTTACTACATTTGAAAAAGTCATGGAGTTCACTGTCCTGTAAGATGCAAATATCCTGTGACAACATCCTGATGACCCACATGAATTCTCTAAGTCAGACCATTCTATGACATGGAACCAGTTTCTTTCCTTCCTTAAAAACTTTCTCATCAAATACAATACCTTCAAAAGTTCATTCTGAATTTTTCAATTATAATATTTATGCAGTCACTTTTGTCAGGATAACAATAAGAGCTCTTTTTCTGTAGTATAAAACTAACTAAAGAAGCAATTAGACATAAAGATACCAAAATACATGATATGCAAAGGTCAATGTATTTGGTTCCTTTCCATGCAGCACATAGCAAACTGCCGTTCCATTCTCACTGTTCCTCTCTCAAATCAACAGTCTGAGGGGCAACATTTGAAGATCGACTCATCCTCCTTGGTAAGCTATCTTGTGTTGTACATAGGGGAAACATTCTTGTTGACTTAGACTAGCCACATGTGGAGTGTGCTGGGAGACAAACGCATTATCTCTTCCATCATTAGTCAAGTTCAAGTTAAGTCCATACTAAGTTAACTGGCACCAAAAGAACTCGATGCCACTCTGTCAGTGCAGGGAGGAAGGCACGAGAGGTGAGGTGGAGGAGGAGACTCAATGTCCTATGACAGAGTGCAGAGGCTTCTGGTGAAAAAACACAACTGGCACATTCTTGATGAATGATGGAAGAGAAACCATGCAGAAATCACAGCGGTGAAGCTGTATGCCTTAGGATGCCATGCCCAGGGGGAAGCCTCCAAAGAATTTCCCAGTCACAAGGACGTTTTTCTTCACAAATGACACCACCTCCTCAGCTTTGCTTCTGACCTCGTTAGGTATCTGGTTACTCTTACGGATTTTCAGTTGCTCCTTGGCTTTCTTCATATTCTTCTCTACTTGTTGCCAGTCAACTTTAATGTAGCCAGTGTGATTTGCAAGCTGAAGGAGAAAAAAATCCACCGCCCATAGCTGTTGCTGCTAACTTCCCATCCTTCTGGAATCTGAAACCAGTGCACCAGCCAGTGACACCTCCAGTGAGCAGCTGGGTGGCTACACTGTACTTTTCAGCAGAAGGCCCAGATTCTTGTCCAAACAGCTTGTGCCACCATGGCTGCTTCTTAGCAAATTCTGCAAGGTCCAATGACTCGAAGTTTCCTTGACTGGTAGCACCCATTTCGGCGAGCTCGTCTTGTGAGAACACTCGCAGGGTTTCAGTGCGGTGGCATGGGGAGTGGCGCATTGGCTTTGTGAGGGCCACCTGGCTTCCGGCACGTGGGGCAGATCTGAACTTTGGATTTCTAATTCCACAAAAAGGGGAGAAAGAAACAATCGTAGAGAGCTGGTGG